CTTCTGACCATTACTCGGTGTTTCAAAACATAAAAACCTCCGTGCAGTCTTGAGACTTAGAGTGCCCGGTAGAACTTCTATCCGTCAAAGGTTAGTGGCTTTACGACTTAGTTCTAGGATCTCCTAGCCCGTGTTTTCTTACTGTAGTTTGAAATGGTGATTGGGTAACTTCTTTCAATGACAGGTTTCGACTTGCAGGCTCCGAAGAAGGCAATGTTCGCCGAAAACTCGTTACTCATATGGAAGACCAACTGATAATCGCAGTCTGAAAACCCATAAGTTGGTGTACGTTTCATTTCAAACGACTACTTCGAGCTACCACCACTGGAAAGTCAAAACAAAAAGAAAGTCAAACAAGATGGGCAGGTTTGCAATGGGTTGGGACACATGGACTGATCTAGTCTGATGATGTTAACCTGAACCCATCATTGAAAAGCGAGGGAAGGAGGCATGCAGTTTCTAGAACGACCGGTAATTCCATTTCATTTCAAATGGCTTTCAAGAGAAATCGAAATTAGAACTATGCTGGGGTATAAGGCGTATTTTGCAGAGCCGCACGTGACAACGCGCGCAAAAAGCATAGTTCAGTCATTTGATTGTTTTCCTTCTTATTGGATACGATGACTAACACTGATAAGAACACACAAGAAGTACCAAAATCTTTGAAGTAAGGATTCGCAGCGTTCGAAGTGAATGTGCGCCTAATACTCCAGAAAATAGGGAAAAAATATGACTACACAAAAGGACCACTAATAAAAGTAAAAGAAACCGCAATGCAAAGAAGTATGGAAATGTAGAAGAAAACACTTACTTGACTACTGACTACATTATCATCCTGTCTTGCTAACTTTGGAGGCAGTGAACTGGTAGGCTGTATACGGTAAGCATGGCGATGGAAACGTTTTCTTCGCTGAGCTCCTCTCACATCAGCGTTGCAGTCGATCGGAGTGAAGGTGACTTCGAAATTATGCTTGTTCCATATACACAGAGTGCTTTGTTTATCCAATCTTCGACACGCAGGCGCGCCTCTACATAGTTGCCGTCAAACGTGGAAGACAGCTTAATATTTTCTAGATATCGACTGTTCCCCTGAAGAATGGCGTGTGAGTACCATTGAATTTAAATATGAAGGAAGAAGTCTAGAAGGAAAGAAGGCACGCCAGAGAGGTACAATTTTCTGCATTAAATTTGAAAATTTTGACACAGATTCCAGCCAGGACGTGGACGAGAACGGTCTACACTGCTATCGACGCAAAAGTCTCAAAAAATGTATTGATTGCGACTTGTCTGGGGAATTATTAGTATATCGTAATTTTACCCGGTGTGACATATTTTTTTCCTTGGCGCAAGCAAAATCTAGTTTCGTGTTTTCTCAATTATTCGCTGCAAATTCAATGTTGTGCTACTGTGCCCCTCCTTGTCAAAATTTCAGAACGTTCTTACCTAAGAGCATTATTGTCGTCCTTATGCTCTGGGCTATGGATCGGGCCAGAGGAAGGGGATCACTGCTGGCCCAGCAATCGCAGAGCAAGGCGGCATATCTGTTTTGGCTAACGGGTCACTCAAAGCAGAGAGCCACATGACTAGGTGGCAAAAAAGGAGGATAAGCGCAGCGTGTAGTACTTCGCGACTCGCGGCGAACGGACTACATTAAATGGGAACGTACGATTTTCTGCATTCGAAGTAAGGGGATATCGTGTGAGAAGGAGATTTCACCTCATCTTTTCGAATTCGGAATAAGATTATTTTGTTCCCCAGGTGAGCTTCTTTTTGCTAGTCGCAGTATCTTTGTTATCAAAGTCAATCCAGATACGCGCGGACGGGAGCAACGTATTGCCTGAGGCATAACCGTGGGCTTCTGTGCAACGCAAAGACAGAGTGTCAAGTTTGGTAATGAAGGATGCCAAAGTATCCAATGAACTAATGTATTCTATTGTCCTTGAGTATGCGGCGCATTAGTTGCACTGTTCGTTTTTTAAAATTTTTAGTGCTTTCGAGGCAAATTGCGCTCAATAACTAATAAAGTAGGGTACATCAATCTTGTCGAAAAAGCTGACGGTACTGAGAGTTAGGCTCGTAATCCGGACGGTGATTAACGAACATAGTTGAAAATTCGACAGAAAATTGAGATTTTGATATAATAATAGTTGAATAATGCCGAAATCGCACAGCGCTATCTTGACAAACATTCAAAAAATGGTATTCTTATAGGACAAAATAAGAAAATGAGTACTCACGAACAGGATAGTACACCCGCGGTCGCCAACCGTAACAGCTCTCCTTCTTCACAACAACAGGAACTTCCTTGACTGAAATAAGATATTGACAATGACTCAAAAATTTGGTGAAATCCACTAATCTAGGGATTTTTCCAATTCTGGGAAGTTCGGTGCAGTTCGGCGGCGAAAAGTGCGGGGGGAGGGGTGGGTGGAAAGTGGTGGTTTTTGCACTTTTGCTACTTCCCATAGTAATCATTGGTTTACAAGGGTTAAAAGGTATTCTTACAAGAGTTGGCAAGCAGTTTCTACCAACTTTGTCTAGTATCACTTCATGGCTTTACCAGCTTTAGGACAATGTGAAAAAGCAAAAGTGCAAAATGCCCTCCCTCCCCTTCCCCCATCCCTTCTTGTGGTTTTTAAGCAAAGTTGGACGACATTTCGGGAATGACGCTGTGCTAGGGGTATTCCGAAATATCAACCTTATTCGAGACTTTTGCCGAACCTTCTAAAGCTGTGATAAAAATCGCAGACAGAAATGGAACTATAGCATTTCTTCTTCACCGGTTCACAGAAAGTGTCATTACTTAGAGATGAAGTCGACTACGTCGTACAATCTTAATGGAGCTTAGCGCGCTCTGTTCAATATGAGAACATTAAATCTAACCTGGTTTAGGAGGTTTTATGTGCTCAAGCCGAACATGTTCTTCCAATCTGTTTGTTGTGGAAAAGCGCATTTGACATCCTTCAATGACGCAATGGAACGGATTAGCAGATCGCGCATGACGAGTCCGATAGTGGTCTATGAGCCACAATACCTGGAACAAGCAATGCCTGAATTTAGACTTTGAAGATCATCCCATAAATTTATGCCTCCAACTGCAGAACATGTGGTCCAAACTGAACTGCTTATTATGGCAGTAGAAAAAGTTCAAGCACAGTCCGGTTCGCTGCGGATGAAGAGGCGTGTCACTTGTAATGGTAATTGGCGCAGCGCCGAACCCGTTTTCTAACAGTTGTTGTAGCGAGCAAGCAAAAACACTGTATTATGTTGTACGTAGCAGTTGTTTTCTATCAACATTTGTACATTACCCGCTTCAACAACTGATAGAGAACGGGCTGGCGCAGCGCCAAACCCATCTCGCTGGACACGCCGCTTCATCCGCAGCTAACCAGACTATAATTTAGTTAGAGGAGCTCGAATTATAGTAGAAGTAATG